GCTCCAAAACACAGCGTAAACAGCAGGGATTCATAACCTAACATGCTACGAGTTTTGTGATAGTAATCCTCCGACTTTTCTTCCGGGACATAAGCAGATCGGACTGGCGTCCGGATCCCTTTATCGAAATTTAAGCCTTCTTTACGGATGAAGTTATATCATATTTTCTTCATAAGCTTTCGGGTTATTGGTGTGAAATACGAGAATTGAGGATCTTTCTCCTCCTTCTCGGATTCTTCCAAAAGAGTTTGCAACGGGCCATCACTCTTCCCAAAGATGATGTCTTTTTGGCCATTAATCATGCCCGGCACTACAAAGACTGCTTGCGAAGATTCGATTTGCTACCGATTTGTCACAAAAGATGATTGAATCAATATATATAAATTTGATTCATCATATAACCGTGGTAGAGGATCTGCCAATATGCTGGCGCTTGTATCTGGCATGTCAGAATTAAATTCAATACATGATAAATAAGCTAAATCATCATTATTAATAAAGATAACTTCACTGTCCTTGTAGACAGGGTCATTTACATCTAGATTTTCAAGACCAATTATGACAAATTCTATGTCATTAAAAACAAGACCCTGTTCATACTCAGACTCGGTATCGGCTTCATTACTGCTATCTGGTTCTTCAACCAGTGATACTTCAAATGGCTCACCATCAAGGTAGTGGATGGAATTTGTAAAATAATTCTCCAATCCTTTAAATGGTTGATTTTTTGTGACCACTGTTTTGACTTCATAACTCTCATCTACAAATTTCATGCATTGATGTAGAGTCGATGGAACAATCAGATTGTTATGAATCCATGGTCGACCTAATAACAAATTGTAAGACATCTCTGCATCGATGATGTAGCAGGTGACATTTGTTCTCAAGTCACCCATTTGACATTTGAGTTTGATTTTGCCAAGAGGACGAGTGTTGGAAGTATTAAATCCATAAATGGTAGTCCCCGTCATTGATAAACGATTCAGCAGAACTCCGAGGTGGCGAATGAGACTCAACAGTATGATGCTCAAAGCAGAACCGGGGTTAACCTGAATTCTGTCTACCCGAATAGAACCGATATACCCTGTGAAGTACAAAGGTCTATCGTGTTTCGGGTTTCTCACGTGCATATCTTCTTGAGAAAAGGTGATGCATGTCATTCTTACTTGAAAGACTTGATAACACTAAGGACAAGCTTCTTCCAGCGTTGCTCTGACTGGGTTTGGTGGAAAGTGGATGAGAAAAGCCTTATTATCCACCAACGCTTCATGAAGAGCTTCCCTTATTGATCGGGATAAATGCAAAAACTCAAACATGGTAATCCTTGCTGGGATGTTGGCTAACTGAGCTAACACATCAAACCGAAAGGGATCTTTCGAGCTCTCTGGTGCTTCCTTCCTGAGTGCTTTGCTGTAACGAAGTTCCTTCACTTTGGGATCACTAAAAATAGCTTGTGTTTGCATCGCCACTTCTTTCCCTGGTTTGGGTGGTACAACTGCTGTTTCAGGGTATTTCTTCAAATATTCATTTCCTCTGCGTTTTCTTGATATCTGTGTAGGTTGTGTGGTGAATGTTGGCTGCTCATCTTCAGAACTGCTAAGTGACGTAGTTTTAACTCCTTCGTCTGCAAGGGCTGAAACATCATTGCAAGATCTTCGTTTGACTTTAGGCTTCTTCGAGTTCGGCGATGTCCACTGCTCGTCCACTATTAAGTCAGGATGAATCCAAATGACTTCACCTTCAGAGGTGGTGTAGGGGACCATTCCCTTCTCTTTCTTCTGATGAGGGTCAAGGTTTACGACCCTCGTCTCTACTTGGGGAATTGGTTTCATGCCATCTTGGACTTACACCTTGGCAAAGTCTCCGAACTATAGCGAGACCATATTTACAGATACCTTCTTTTGCTCGGCTTAAAGGGTCATCACATATGCATCTAACAAAGCCTGGATTTTATCCTTCAGAATGTAACAAGCCTTGGTTGGATGATGCACCATCCTGTGGTACATGTAATAATTAGGATCGTCAGTCCTTGACACTTCTTCGCTCCGTTTCACCTCCAACAATTTGATCTTCTTCATTTTGATCAAAGATGTGAGGATGGAAATCACATGTTCATCTTTGAAATCGTACTTTTTTTGAAAACGATTGTCGGAAGTATTTCCCTTCTATTTTGCAGAAGATTTAGAGGATGAGGCTGTCTCAACAGCTAGAGTATCATTTCCTTTTGATTGCTTCTGGGAGTTATAGTTGCCTTTACCCCCTCCCTTCTTAGGTTGAGATTCCTGAGGTTCTTCAGCATCCATCCTCTTGAGCATGTTTTCTACTTGCTCTCCCTACTAAACCAAGTCTTTCCATGAACAGGCTTCAACAACATCCATCTTAGACAAGATATTGATAGAAAGATTATTGCGTCACATCTCCGCAAGAGTAGCTTCGAAAACCTGGTCACGCGAATGCAACGATCGGTTTCTGAATCTCTTGACAAAGTCGTTGACAGACTCTGTCTTTTTCTGCTTTTCGGCCAATAGCGTGGTCATGGACACCTTAATGTCATCATCGAAAAATCAAGCTAGGAAAAGCTTCTCCAAATCCCTCCAACTTTTGATTGACCCGGGCTCGAGTCTGCGAAACCATTCAAAAGCTACCCCTTTTAGGGTACTGATGAATAGTCTAGTCATAATAGGATCATTACCCACTATGTGTCCGGTTTGTGTGTGGAAATAATAAATATGTTGGGTAGGGGAACCCTTGCCCTCAAATTGCACTAGATTGAGTGGTTTGAACTTCAGGGGATACAAGATGGCGTCCCACTCGGTTGAATAAGGCCTGGCTACCCCCAGGTCTTTGAAGTTTCCTTGGAGCTTCAATGCGTCAAGTTACTTATGGAAATCCTCTAATTTTTGGTCCCGTACTTTCGTACGAGGATTGGACTCAGCTTCAGACGATTCAGAATGAACCCTCATGACATTTTCCTCTTCGTCGTCTTCATCATTGCCATCTTGATATGGACGACTGTTCTCTTCATCAGTGTGTGAAGGTCGCATATGCCTTGATCTCGAGGCTTGGGGATAGACTTTCTTCTTTTTCTTTTCTTTCTCCCCGAGGAGTTTCTCTATCATTGCTTCCAAGCGTCTGAAAGACTCCTGTTATTGACGGATGGTTGATTGTTGCTCTTCCATCTGCCTCGCCATGTCTTCTTCACTTCCAGCCATGTGGGCACTTGCTTGTTCACTTTGATAGGTGTTAGAAGGCTGAGAGGTTGTAATAGCCGAGTTCTCAGGCTATTCCTCAGCCTCATCTGTGATGCCCGCTAATCGTCAGAAATCAAACGGGATCACCACACCAGTATGAGTACGAGTGTGTTGATACACCCCCTGTTCTTCGACAAGCATTTTACCTAACCCTGAAGAATATTCAGGATCAGAAGATTCAGAAGAATCAGCCATGGCTTTGCTCTTGCCCTTGCTGACCATGTTAATCATCACTCCAATGTGGTAATTCTTGGGTGCTTGTTTTTTGGGACGAAAACGCCTTCTTCTTGACGACGAGGTCGTTGATGGCTTAGTCAATCGTTCGAAGACTGAAGATTTATGTGCTGACTCCCCACATGGGCATTAGGAAAGCACTTCAGAAATAAGCTTCTCACAACAGCAATGAGATTGCATCTGATTTATACTGCGCTTGCATGAGAGATAATTCCGAAGGTCACCAGCATGACAACCCCCAACTGACTCTGTCATCTTAGCCTTACCCGAGCGAGACCCTCTGAATGATAGAAGTTCGCTCACTTGGTACAAAACCCTTATAATCACTCACACTCTCTCTCGATTACAGATGAAGAGAAGATTAATTTAGCTCCTCCTAGTTTAACGTGGGGCTCTCAGTGGTGAAAGGATGCTTCCCTCGATGCTTGAGTCGAGATTGCCTCCCATTGACGATCAGAACAAGATTGCTGAAGCTTCTGACATTCGTTAGACTGCTAGAACCGAGGTTCGAATTCCAGCTCTATACGCAGGAGCTCTGATCTCTGATGATTCTCGAAGTTCAAATTACCAAAAAGTCCAAAAGTCCGAACCCTTTCCTCTGTAACCATCCATGACTATTTATAGGGTTTAAGCACGTAAACGACGTGCTAAGATCACGGGTAGAAGGGCATAACTGCCTCCTCCAAACTAGCGCGCGCCGTTACGTGCTCCCGAAGATTAGCCCACGTGGCTGACTAAGTCTTCGGAGCCGTTACAGCTAGATCTCATGTGGATGATGAGCCTTGTCTTTAATTGAAACGGGGTTCGTCAAGTTGTACGAGCCTTGATACGTAGTGAGGTTCGTCTTACAAGGAAAACTTCGCAGTAAGCGAGCTTTTTCTGACGAATTTTGTCTTCACTGACCTCGTCTGACAAACTTCGTCTTCACTAACGAACTTCATCTTCAATAGTTGGGCCCAACTGCATAGTAAATCTTGTGACTTTACTTTTGTCGAACCTCATCTTCACTGACGAGCTTGAGTCTGACGATGAGCTTTGTCTTCACTGACAAGCCTCATTCTTCAAACTATGAACTATGAACCCCGTTTCTACTAACGAGCTTCGCTTTTGTTGTTGAACTTCGTTGCTCCACGACCCACGTTTTTGAAGTGGATCTTAGCTAAACGATGAGCCTCGTCTCTGATTGAGACGATGTTCGTTTTCCTGACAATCCTTCTCATGTTTTGAAGTTTGGCATTTTTGAATGCCTACATAGTGCAGTACTAAACTACACGTGATTGAGAATCCCATGTAGTTTAATTTTTTAGTAACTACACGGGATTTTTTAATCCCGTGTAGTTTATAACACTTAATTACCAATTTCGATACCCAATTCCAGCAAAGTGGCTAAAACTAGATCGAAAGTGGCAAATAAATGCAAAGTAGGTCGAAAATTGCAAATAAGTTTTCAAGAGGGTCGAATTTGAAAATTTGTCCTTTTGTTTGCACTCAATCACTATCATGCAACAGACCCAA